GTCTCTTCCAAAGCGATCCGTATCGTTACCGCAAGGCGAGGGTGAATCTGATAATGGCAGAGTACCGCCACGACCGCCATTGCCGAGGAGTATTTTACGAAAGAACAAGGTACTTGCGAGTAAACGATACAGCATGTTCGAGATGGGAGATGTGGGTGAACAATCGGAAGAATCTGTGGACATAAACAAGAGAATGTCTTTACAAGAGCCATACTACATGAATAATGATTTGCAGTTGTTATGTCGCGAAAGAACGATCGATTCAGAAAAGGATGTCGACGAGACAGAAGCGGAGAGATATCTTAAAGGTAAGGATGAATTATTCGGCATTTGTTTTTTTAGATTATTTTTAATTGTCGACCTATATTCATTTTTAATACACTTAACAATATAATTATCACAGAGAAATTAAATGACATTACAAATAACGCGAACGTGGAGTCGGAAACTTCTCAGAATAGCGACGATGACATCAAGCAGTTGGAAGAATATTTGAAACGTAGTGCAATCTCGTCGCAAAGCAGCGACGGAGATATTGACAATGCTGAAGTAAAAGTGAGATCGTACGTAAGAAAATTTTTAGCTTTGAGAATGAACAAGGATCCACTCGTTAGAAATATTGATATGGGAGAATCGCAAAGAAAAACCGTCAGTTTTGCCACGCACCAAAGAAAAAAGCATCTGGACGCTAAGGTAAATCATTAATACTAATTTTAGCATTAACCAATTTTTGGATCTTTGTGTATACTTATTCTGATATACATATAAGAATATTTATTCATTTCAGCTAAATAATCTGAATATCGTCGTAAATGAACAAAATCACGATCAGGCAACTGAGGATAAATTAATAGAATTAGAAGAAAAGAAAAGTATGCGCGTTTTATTTATTATCTAATATAATTCTTAATTAAATAAAAGTATATCTCGAAATCTTTAATGTGACACTCTTTTCAGAAATGGTATTGTCTGTAAATAGAGCGGTGGATCTTTTATTGAAGTATTGGAACGCTGACTCCAATCATAGTCGTCCTAATTATAACGAAAGGAACGAGTGTGCGCAAATTTGTCTGAGTAATTTATGCCCAGCTTTATATGCTATTATGTCGGATGGCTTGAAACCCCATTTGAATTCTACCTTTGGACCAATTACTAATAGTGTTTGGCAGGTTGTCGAAGCTAGTTCTCAACAAGGACCTCTTACAAAGACATTGAATGAATTAGTGCAGAGAATTAATGGCGAAGATGTTATTACAGAAGGAATGTTAAAGTTTCATGCATTTGTATTTGGCTTGTTGAAGTAAGTTAGAATCGCTAGTCTTTCTCGTTTTGTAGTCTGTACATCGTTACATTACGATTTTAGTATTTCATATTTATTTATATGTATAAATAGTTTTTATCCGTTTAATAAATTAATTATATAATTAACCTATTTTATTCTCTTTTCCAGTCTAAGAGCTTTAGATGCATGGTTTGCGTATTTATGTACACGTGAATCAATCTTACGGAAACATTATAGTAACAATAGCTTATTTGTCGCGGCTTTGGCCAATGCGAATGTCCGAGAAATCGTTGATTCGTTATTGTACATCCTGAATCCACTTGCATTTTGTCCATTTCACTTGGATCTTCTCTACCAGTATCGTCAATTGCAAAATAGTTTTGGGAATGTGAATAATCATACGGTGAATGTAAGTAAACCTATCATTCGATTTCTTTTATATATTGCGAGCGTTCATTTCACGCGATTTTGTAGGCCATGAGCTTTAGAAACGCTGATCTTACTATGAAAGATCTCGAGATTGAGGAAACGGAATCCTGCAGAATGGTTTCTAGTCCAAAAAAGACACGACCGAGATCTTGTATTGCCTATAACATGGATGATAAATGCAGCATTACGCATAAAGGCGATCTTCAGAATGCGAAAAAACGTTTCAGTGCCATAAATCCGAAGGCGTTTTACGCGTTGGACAAATTGACTTCTGAGGATTCTGAAGATTACACAGATAGTCTGGAACATTCTCCTTTAAATAAAAAAGCAAGCAAGCAATCACAATCTAAACTTTTTAATCCTGATACTAAAGCGAGTGACGACAATGGTCTTGCTGTCGAAACCAAATTCAAAAAATTGCAGGAAAAATGGGAATTGATTGGTAAAGAAGGTAATAAGGATCAACCTGTCGTAATGACCCCTTCCTCGCCAGTACGGACATTCGGAGTGTTAGGGAAATCAAAGATACCTAGATTGCTCACATCACCGGTGAAGCAATCTAATGTTGCAGCGAATGTTGTTGGGAAATCGTCAAAATCACCCATGTCGGGAGTTTCTTCATTAAAGAAGCCCGCTAATCTTCCTACGACAAAGACAGTCCTAAAGAAACCTATAGATGCGAAAACGAGAGACGTGACGCGTCGTACGAGCCGCGTTGATCAAGATACTCTAGGTGTGACACGAACTCACACTGCACGCCCGAGTTCCTTACCATATAAATCTCATGGAGTAATGTCGAATGACAAGAATCTAATCTCGCCTCACAGACGAGCCGTTTCGACCTCTTTACCACGACCGACTGTTACTACTGTTTCAAGGGCACCAGTTTCAAAACATCCACACAAGTAAATATCAATATTTCATATACTATTTTTTGCATGTACTATTTTTTAGAATGCATTATCTTTTTCCTCTAATTTTATATTGGTTGCATAAATATTATTCGTTTATATACGAGCATTAAAAATGAAATAATATAACTTGTTTATACATTTATTTACATTACGCTTTTCTATCTTTGTTTTGCTTTGTATTTTAGCTCTTTTCTTTTTTTTCTTTTTCTTTAGATTCGTACGATAACGGTTCGCGCGTCTCGATTGCAGAGAGGTCCGTACTCTCACTCATAGGATACCGTCGGACACTGGTCATCTTTCATTCGCAGAGGGGGAGAAACTGAAAGTAATATTAGAGGTGGATAATAAGTGGTTGTTGTGCGCGAAAGGTGATCGAAGAGGTTTGGTACCACGAGCATGTGTACGCAGCGTTCAAACTTAGCCCCTCTTCTCGACAAACCTTCACGATCGCAATTGTAACCATGATCCTACCCAGCGGTCATAATTGTAATTTCACCCTCAAAAATGGAACGAAGATGAGCGAATTGCGAGGACGAGCTGAAAAGTTCAAATTACCTAAATATCCCGAGGCGATATAAGTGATGTACAGTGTATTAAAATTGTTTTTAAGCCATATGATATAATACGCATTATCACGCGCTTGTAAAGTTACTTTTAACAGAAGTTTAATCGAAAATATTTCGTTTCTATGGAAATGCGACAGTAGTATTATCGCTAGCGGCGCCATCGAAGATAGAGATATCACCTAGTCATAGGCTTTTTTTAGACGACATTATATTTATTTAGATTCATTTATTTTAGAACGATGTACAAATGCGAGGATAACGATTCGATATATCCTCGATGAGTAAAAAGCCGAAAACAGTGTGTATAATGTATACACATATTATGAATGTGTGTGTGTAACTGTGATCCTAGTAAATAGGCGATTAAGTTTATTAGTGCGAACGCGTGATGTATATATTTTGTTCTAATGTTTATATACTGTGACTTTTTTAATTTATTTATATCTATACTTTTTACATCGCGCATCAACGATCTTTCATTCTGATTTTATTTAAGCCATTTACGACATACACCTTCGCGATGGCGGCGATTACATTTTTTACATGCTTCAT